AAAACCATGAACACAGTCAAGGCAGGTCCCCAGACCCAACCTGCCACCCTTCAGGTACAGCCACAGACACTGGCTGACCTCCACCCCGTCCTTGACTCATCCCCAAACGTGACTTCTCACCTGAGCTGATTGGTTGGTGAGCCCTGTTCCCTCCAAGTCTAGGACCTCTAGGGTGCGGCTGGAGGCCACAGCGACAGCCAGCATCCCTGCCACGTGGTCACCTGGGGAGATGGCACACATGCACACACTCACCTGTGTTCACAGACAGGCCTGCTAACCCTTCCTCTGGACAGCCCCCTCCTTCCCCCCCATTGCCCTGACAAGCTTAGATCCCCTGGCCAGGCAACTCTGATGACTGGTGGGTGGCCAGGAGGGGAGCTTTATGATTGGCCGGTGAAGGGATGAAGTAAGCAGGTTCAGGGGGTGGTGACTGATGCTTTGACCTATCTGCGGTCACCTGGTCCTCCACACAGGATGGCCCCTCTACTTCCTCCTTGACCCTGGGGAGCTCTCCCTCCTCTTCCCTCCCCCAACCGGTAGTCCTCTGTTCTTGGATAGGGCATTGGGTGGTGAGAACCAAAGGGGGTATTCTTGAGCCTCACCCAGGGGGTTGTAGTCCAGATTGAGGACGCGGACCTGGGAGCTGTGGGCCACAGCAATGGCGAGGCGGCTCCAGCCCTTAGGGGTGATGCCAGGGTTGGCACTCAGCGTTAGCTCCTTCAAGCCTGGGCAGTATCAGCAAGAAGCCAGAAGGGAGAGTCAGGCTCTTTCCTGTGTCCGGAGTGAGCCGCCCCACCCCCTCCTCAGCGCTCCGGAACCATTATGGACCAGTGATCCTCCACCTGCCCCCGCCTGGATTCTGAGTCTTCACCTGCTCACTCCCAATCCTTCCCTTCCCGAGGAGAAAAAGACACGGTCACCCCCACCGTCAACACTCAGCTCAGGGCCACACCCCCTTCCCTCTACACCTAGCCTGCCATCACGGCCATACTAGCCCGTGCCCTCAGCAGGGCCCTGCTCACCAGACTTGGCCCCATCTGGGGGGAGGAGGCCACAGATGAGGTTGATGGCTTCATCACCCAGCATGCAGTCCCCCAGGTCCAGAGCCACAAGGGCAGGGTGGAGGGCCAGGGCTGGGTTCAGCAAGGCCAGGCCAGCATCAGTCAGGGGGCTCCCGTGCAGGCTAGGGGTGAGGCGAGAGAGCAGTTATTGCAGTGAGCCCTGTCTGCAAGGGGAAGGGGCGCTTTCCTTATGTCAGTCCTGGGGCTTGGGTTACAGCACTTGAGAGGTCCAGGAAGGGATAAAGAACATTCTAGGTCCCCAGGCATACAGGTAGAAGGGGAATTCGGTTTCCTTTCTGGGACAGGGATCTCCCTGACATTGCATGGGAAGGGGCAGAAAAGGGCTGTGGGGCTGGAACCCCTGCGTGCAGAAGGTAGGGGAGGGCTCTAGTCCCCACCCGGCCTTCCTTCCTGGGAAGGAAGGAGCTGACTGCACAAGTAAATGCGGGTGATCAGGTGAGGAGGGACCAGAGAACATGCCCTGCCAGGAAGGGGTGGGCATCCCGTCTCCCGGAAGGCCGCCCCAAAGTCCGGAGAGGAGGCGTGTGCTTGGAGGGTGTCCTGGGTCACGGGCAGGCAGGACTGAGGTGTGTGTACAGGGTAGGCTGTGGGAAGGCAGGTGCCGGAAGGGGAGTGGAGAAACAAGAGGTGCAGGGGAGTGAGTGGAGGGGTGCAGCGCTGGGACCCCCTTGAGAGGGGCACACTCACAAGAGGGACTGGATGGAGCGGTTGGTCCTCAGCGCCTCCGCCAGCTGCTTGATGCGGCTGGGGCTGGACACGACACCCAGGTTAAGGTTGAGCTGCGCCAGGGACGTGGCCCCGGCAAGGGCCCGGCAAGTGCGGCCGAAGTCGCGGTCGCAGAGGCGGAAGCCGCGCAGTGAGAGCAGGCGCACGGCGTTGTCGCGCAGGCCGCGGCAGATGTCCCGCACCTCGGCGCCTGACAGCGGCTCCCCGGAAATCTGAATGGAGCTGGGCAGCATGGTGCCCGCGGCGGGGCCTCCGGAGCCGCGGGCGGGGCCGGGACAGGGGCCCGGGCTGGGGCTGCGGTCGGAGCCGGAGCAGAGGTGGAGGCAGAGGCTGCGGCAGGGGAGAGCGCCGGGAGCCGGGCCTGAGCTGGAGCCGGCCCCGGG